GGTCTTCGGGTGATATAGCTATTTGAAAATAGCCGGAAAATCCATCCAAGAAGCAATAGAATTCATGACCCGCAACACGTTCAAGCATTTCATCCATGAATGGAAGAGGAAAATGGTCCTTCCTTGTGCCGATGTTCAACTTCCGGTAATCAATGCACATCCTCCATCCGGTGACTATTCTAGTAGGAATTAATTCATTCTTACTATTAGCCACAACGGTAATACCTCCTTTCTTAGGAACCACTTGAACGGGACTCACAAAGTTGCTATCCGAAATAGGATAAATAATACCATAATCAAGGAGTTTGAGAACCTCCTCCTTGACTACCTCCTTCATGTTGGGATTCAATCTTCTTTGATGTTCAATGGTGGGTTTATGATTTTCCTCCATGAGGATTCGGTGCATGCAAAGAGAAGGGCTAATGCCCTTGATGTCCGCCAAGGACCAAGCAATAGAAGACTTGTGAGCCCTTAAAATTCTCAATAATTTTTCTTCTTGTAAAGAGGTGAGTGTAGAAGAAATTACCACCGGGTAAGTAGAATCATCTCCAAGAAATGCATATTTGAGATGGGCCGGAAGAGGTTTGAGAGTAGGCTTTGGAGCAACTTCACATGAGGATTTTTGGCTAGGCTTCCTAGCACCAAGCTCTTCAAATTTAGGCCGGAATTTGGTGTAGGAACCCCCGGCTTGAAGGTACATTACTTCCTCAAAAAGTGCAGGAATTTATTCATTTTCGGTGCATCCTAGCAAAATGCATGCCTCAAGAGGGTCTTCATGTATCTCCCTCTCAAAAACTTCTTGTGTCAAAGTATCAAAAATCTTGATACTAAAACATGTAGAATCATCATGGTGCTTCTTCAAGGAATCCCAAACATGGAATTCTTGCTCTTCTTCTCCAACACGGAATTTCACAACGCCATTCTTAACATCAATAAGGGCAGCCGCCGTGGCCAAGAAAGACCTTCCAAGAATCACCGGAATTTCCATCTCCTCCATTTCTAGCACAAGAAAATCCACCGGAAAATAAAATTTTCCAACCTTCACAAGAACATCCTCCATTACTCCAATAGGATAACGAATGGTTCTATCCGCCAATTGTAGAGCTATAGTTGTGGGTTGAAGCTCCCCCACACCTAGTTTCTTGAATAGAGAATGTGGCATAAGATTAATGCTAGCTCCAAGATCACATAGGGATTTTACCTCTCCTAGACTTCCAATAGAACAAGGAACGGTGAAGCTCCCGGGGTCCATCAATTTTGGAGGTAATTTATTTTGGAGAATAGCACTACACTCCTCCGTGAGTGCTACGGTTGCAAAATCCGCCAACTTCTTCTTGTTATTGAGGATATTTTTTAGAAATTTTGCATAAGAAGGAATTTCCGCAATAGCCTCAATAAAGGGAATATTTATGCTCAACTTGGTTGTAACAGAACTGTACCCTGGAAACTTTGTTTTCATCTGTTAAGAAAGGCTTAATAGCATTTGTGTGACTTCTAAGCATACCTTTTTTCAAACATTTATGAAAAGTTGTCTTTGAACTGTGATCGGCTGAAACTTGCAAGTGTACAAGTGCCAATGTAGTAATAAATTCCGGTAAAAATACCGGGTCGAACACAAGGAAACGTTGTTTATATGATTCAAAAGTGAAAGCGGTTTAGTGAAAGAATTAAGAAAAGAGTAAAGCTTTTTGATTTTTTAAGAGATAATAAAAGCAACCAAGGGTTCGGGATTACTCCTAAACGACTCCTAGTGATGAATATATGTTCTTTCGCCAATTCTTATGAGTGAAATGTCACTAAAGTATTCTAACTCCTGTTACGGCAGCGAGATTGTGATTAATTCTACGTGTGAATCCCGTCATGGTTCACATTCATCTAAAATTAACCCCATTGAAGATTAGGACATTATAAAAACCACCATACTCAATTGAGGTATATTTCTATCCACAATTAGAATATGTCTAACCTTTAAGTGCACGGTCTATAACTCAACGTTAATTGCTCAAATAAACCCAACGATATAATCATACGTTGTACACCGTAGTCATACACATTAAAATATAAAGGAAAGATCATAATAATTTGGTTGAGAACATACATCAAACACCTAGAGTGCGTAAAGTTTCATCCCTAACCTTGGCTATAGAAAATTAGCTAGAACAATTCATAATAAAATTACAAGTATTGAAATGATAAAATACAATGAAATACATAAGAAAATGATACCACATCTCCAAAGCTATGGTGGATAAAGCTTTCCCCAAGTGTAGAACTTCTCCCAAGACCAAGGGGTTGCTCTTGGGATGCCAAAGTAGAAGTAAAGTGTGTAGAATATGAAATAATCTCTTGAGAGGGCTTCAACCCTCTTAAATATTGAGTTCTCAACGGCCATTTTCTGACAAGGAAGCAAGCTCCTTAATGGGATTTGGTGTTTTGCCCGAATGATTGTGATGACCGTTGCTTGTTTTAATCAGCTCCAGGCAAAAGGCGGGCGACTTTCGCAAAAGCCGGGCGGCTTTTGCGAGTTTAAAACGGGCTTCTCCGCTCCAGGGACCGAAAGCCGGGCGGCTTTCGCCAAAAGCCGGGCGGCTTTTGGTTCGGTTTGCTGAATATTTTCCACGGCGCCCAAAGTCGGGCGCCTTTCATGAAAGCCGGGCGGCTTTCATCTGTTTTTGCTCCGGGTGCTTTTCCTTCATCTTCGGACCGCAACTGGATGGCTGGTTGGTGAAAACCGGCCGGTTTTGGTGAAAGCCGGGCGGCTTTCACCCCTTTGGTGTATTTTCCTTTTTTTCCTTTTGTTCTCGGGATGCGTTTGGTTGACCTTTACTTGTCGGGATTCTTCGTGTGTCTTTTCATCCTCGTATTTGATCCAATTGTCGGTTATAGTATTTCTTGCAAAACGAGACATATGTGTGAGAGTTTTATTCTTTTAAGTATAAAAGCGTTTATAAATTGTTGTATAAATTACGTTAATAAAACGCTTCTCAAACTGCCTGTGGCAGCAGCTAGTGCCCTCATATTGGTCCTTTTATACAGTGGAATTTTAGAGATGGAGCTTATATCCACTTCAATTCTTTTCCTTCCTGATGGAGCTTACATCCACTGGGTCCCCTTTCTGAAGTTGTTTTTTGGGAGTCGCCCATATGCTTGAAATGGATCTTCTGGAAACTTTAAATTCAGTTCCCAATTTACTGAACACACCTTTCTGAGCTACCAACGCCCCAAAACAGTCTGTTTTTGCACTTAGTAGGATCTGATTCATGATAGTGTCCCTTTCCACATTTGACAGTCTCCTACTTTTGTTGTTGCTGACTGCTTCTTCTGACTCACCCTCATTTGTTATTGTGTTCAGGTTGGTTAGTGAAGAAGATGAAAGAGAAGCATTAATGAAAGGTGAATGGGAATCAACATTTATGGCAGCTGCCATTTATTGAAGAAGAAATGCTCACATTTATTGTGTGTGTGTGTGTGAAGTGTTGAGTGCTGTAATGGGAGGTTGGGAGAAACAATGGCGAAATGGGAGTATTTGTAGAAGAAAACATTTGAAAGTCCCTCCAAAAATAGGAGGGAAGTTGTATCTGAATTGTTTGCTTGGGGTGTACTGTTCACCTTTTTTATCACATCTATAAAATCCCACTTTATTTAATCATTCTTCATAGGAGTAACTTTATTTTTACCTCTCCCCTTTTCGGCCAACCCTCCAAGGGTTTAATTGGAAAGTCAAAGGCTTTTTAGCCTTGCATTGAAAAGCGGTCCGGGTCAAACCGGGAAGGATTTTTGGGAACGGAGAGGGTATTAAAGAAACACAATAAATCAAATACTTCGTAGGTTGTTGTATTTATAAAAGGGAAATTGGAAACGAATAAGCCAGCCTATTTCTGATCGTCTTTCGTTGAGCGTCATCTAAATAATAATGTCATTGAAAGAACAACAAATTTGAAAGAGCATTTTATAATGATCAAATTGACATCTCACGCTATAAGATGACTAATACTCCCTTCGTCTCATTGGACTTTGCCAACTTTCGTTTTTTGATTGTCGCAAAAAACTTTGTCACTTTCCTATTAAAGCAACTAATCTGTGGTTCTGCACATTTGTCTCTCCTCTGCACAAATATCAACCACACAGTTTTTACTATTCTTATTTCTCACCTACTTTGCACTTGGCAAAGTCCTTCGGGACGGAGGTAGCACGTAATACTCTCTCCGTTCCTATTATAACTTCCAACTTTCCTTTTTCGCCCGTTCCAATTAAAACTTCCACTTTCCCTTTTTGGTAAAGAATTTGTGGTTCACAACATTTCTCACACATTTCTCTCTCCTCTGCACAACTTTCCACCACAGAATACTCACTATCTTAAATTGTGTGCCAAACCTATTTGGAAGTTATAATAGGAACAGAGATAGTACTAAAGAAACAACAATAAATCAAATACTTCCTAGGTTGTTGTATTTATAAAAGGAAAATTGGAAACGAATAAATCAACCTATTTCCGATCTTCTTCGGCTGAGCCATCTTACTAGTAATCCCAAAAAAGCCAACGTTTATATCCCGTGGGGAAAAGAGTCACATAGGTTCTCGAACTTACATAAAAAAGTCAAATAAGTCCTTATTTAGGAGGCTCTGTCCGGCCGTCGCCATTTGGGGCGGTTCCCGGTGGAATTTTTTGATGAATTTTTTTAACCATCTTATTCACTAAGTCTAGTTTAGTCATACCAAATTTGAGCTAAAACTTCGACCGGGAAGACATTCAAATGAATTTTTGAAGATAACCACGCTGTTAAAAGCGTAGTTATCTTCAAGAATTCATTTGAATGTCTTCCCACTTGATGTTTTAGCTGAAATTTAGTATGAGTAAACTAGACATAATCAATAAGATGCTCAAAAAATTTCTATCAAAAATTTCCACCGGGAACCACCCCAAATGACGATGGCCGGACATAACCTCTTATATAAGAACTTATTTGACTTTTTTATGTAAGTTCGAGGACGTATCTGACCCTTGACCCTTTTCCCTATCCTGTCTTCAATATATGGTCCATATGACTTGGTACCGGCTACTCAAGTAATTTTTTGACTATCAAAACACAATTTTACATACTCTTCTTTTACCTATGTTTAATTTTACCTACTCTTCTTTTACCTATGTTAAAAAACATTAATTACCACACTTTGACTGCTAAGCAATGAACGAAGGATGACTATGTGAAGACGGTGGAAGAGCAATTTTCCGGCGTTGAAACAAAACGTCTATGTGAAGCGGAGTACAACGTTCTGCCAGTAAACTCCATTACAGGTAATATTTGAAACCCCTAGTACCTACATTTTTTTTTAATCATTTCAAAACATTAAACCGTATGATGTAAATGATATGTTTGATAAAATATGAAATTCAAATTGTTTCCCAAATGAAAAATGATGGGAGATGTTGAAACCATAATGGGTGTCCATTAATGAATTCTTTATATAATGTCAATGTTGTTATTTATGGTTTCTCACTATGTGTTTGATGAAATTCCTTAATCAAAAATTCATGCCCAAAAGATCAACTGCCTGTAAAACAGTAGGGTTTAGTGTGGCAGCACTCTTTTCCAAGTCTTGATGTGCCAGCAACGATGAAATACATCCATCTGGTTAAATAACATAAGTTAATTAATAATAACAAAATGATTAAAGATAATATTTTGAACAAAGCACCTGAGTTCTAAAAGGTTATTGCTCGGGTTTGCTTTCTGAGGCATTCAAAAGGTGGAAAAAGATTATCCAATGTTATTTCATCACATTCAAAACACAAAAAGGTCAGTGTAATAACGGAGTTCCTTAAATATGGACCATGTTAGACAACAACATAAGTACTCAAGCAGTTAACAGACTTCCGGTTAACATGGATCAATGCAGGTTGGAATGTTCCATGGATCAATGCACGACCACTAAAAAAGTTGGGCGATATTTACACTAGTCCTGGGAGTGAATCAAGCTTAGTGACTAGTGTCAACTAGGGCGGTTAGCGAAACGAACATTTATCGAGTAGTTCGAGCTCATGTTCGTTTTTGAGCTTAACGAATCGAGCTTAACGAACTACGAGTCCGAATACGAGCTCCAATTACAGTTCGAGAAAAAATATGAGCCGGAACATGATGGTATTCAGTTCGATACGTTACCGAGCCTATCGATAAATAATTTTTTACCCATATGTCCACTTTACTTTCTTATCTACTAATTCAGATACGTAGTTATTTAGTACGGAGTATCACTTATGAAGTACGTCAATCCTAAAAACTTACCCGGCCAGGTCGTAATTCTCCAAAAGTAATAGTTTAAAAGTTAAAATTGTAAAATACATAGTAAATTTAGGGTTTCTTAATCTCCAACTTCGTTCATGAATGGGTAAGTCTGCTTATTTCAGAGTTCGATGTTTGACACTTCAATCTCTTCCAAACATTCAACCAACTAATATTTTCTTCTTACATTTGAACTTTGAAGGGTAACTAGGCAGATCCGAATAGAAATTGGGAACCAAATGTGAAAGCTTCGGAATTTGGTTCGTACAATTGAAGGGTTGGTACAATCTGGTCCGAATAGAAGCTTCCGAATAGAAGTTGGGAACCAATTGAAGGGTTAGTTCTCTTCAGTTACATTCAAAATTTACTTTATTATTTTCATGTGGATTAATGTGTTTTATTAGTTGAATACTAAGTATAAAACATATATATTTCTGTACGGTCAATTCAAAATCTGGTGAGTGGGTTTAATTATTGTAGAAGAAGAGCATAAAGTCATGAATTGCATTTTCCTAAGCATTAACTGGTGCAGTGATTACACTGAGAAGAACATACTATCGTATAGTATAGTATGATTCTGTATTGTCGAGTGACTTGAGTCCATTTCAATATAAGATGCTTTATTGACAAATGGAAAATTAAATGAGCAAAATTTTCAAAGATGTGTTTATTATTTCTACTATGTAGAGAGGCATGGGTGTTCCTGATATTTTGAATTGAGTCAAGTGTTCTACTTAAGTTTTTTCTTATATTAAAAGTAGCCAGATAATCTTTTGCGTAACTATGTATTAAAGTTATCTTGGTGGGGGTAAGAAACAATCTTGGTCCAAGCACAGTTACCTAAAATACAAAAAGTGCACTTCTAGCATGATGTAAGAGCAGGGGCGGATCCAGGAATGAAGAGTGGGGTGGGCTTAGCAGGAAAAAAATTGTTATTGCAAACAAAAAGTTTAGCTTAGGCTGCTTAGGGCCGTAATCGAATTGAGTTTTTTTCGAACTACGCGAATTCGAGCGTGATTTCGAATTTAATTTAGTGATCTGAGCTTAAAAAGCTTTTTTTAACTCGAACACGAGCTAGATTTTGAGTTCGAATAGTTGTTCAAGCTGAGTTCCCATGACTATGGGCTTTAAACAAAGTTTGGGCAGCCTTTTGCTTTTAGAGCTTCTTAGAACACTTCCTTGTAGACTTGGGGTGGGCTGAGTTTTAATTTTTGGGTGGGTTGAAAATTGAATCTCTTTCTATACTAACAAAAAAAATTGGGTTGGGCTGGGCTAGAGCCCACCCTAGGCCCTACATAGATCCGCCCATGTGTAAGAGCATGATTAAATAACCTGGGGCTAGTTATAAAAATGTATATATGGTTGTATGGATATAGAAACCTTTATCTAATGAGATGACTGTGCATTTTTATTATAATAGGAGGGATGTTCTCATGTACCTAATTGTGTTGCATTCATTTGTATGATGTATTGCTTGTGTTTCAGATATATGCAGGCACCATCCACCAACATTCTACCTTTTAGTGAAGGGTCAAACTCAATTTATATAATGGCAGAAGAAGTTGATACCTCTATCAACACCGATCAGTTACATGTAGAGGAGATAGCAGATATACCTGAAAAGAATCAGGCGGGGCATGATGGAGGTGAAGAGGCTATAATTGAAGAATCAGCTTTGAATTTGAACAAAGAAAGAGCAAAACGGTCAAAAATTTGGGAGGAATGTTTCACCAAGATAAAGAATGACAAAGGAGTGGAGGTAAAAGCTGAATGCAGCCATTGTAAAGTGAAGTTGTCTTCGCAAACGACTGGCACAACAACGCATTTGACTAGACATATGAAGACGTGTTCTCAAAGCAAGGCGACCATGAGGCAGCAGGGGCTACTAAACTTTCAAGCAAGCAATCAAAGTATGCCTTCCCTAGCTCCAGCAATTGTGGGGGGGGAGTACGATCATGGAAAAATGAAAGAAGTCATTTGTCACTGGTCCATGATGCATGAACATTCATTCTCCATCGCAGAAGAAGAAGGGTTCAATTTTATGATGAAAGTAGCTAATCCTTTTTATCAAAGAATCGGTTGAGTTACTTTAAGAAATGACTGCATCAAAGTTTATGAGTACGAAAAGAAAAAGGTAAAATCTATGCTCTCTAATGTTTCAAAGATCAGTTCGAGGACAGACTTATGGAAATCTAAGAACCAAAAGATTAGTTACTTGGTAGTCACATGCCATTTTCTGGATGCTGAATGGAAGCTCAACAAATGGGTGCTGAATTTTGTTCATATTCTACCACCACACAATGGTGATAATATTTCAGATGCTTTGTACAAGTGTGTGAAAGATTGGGGAATTGAGAACAAAATTTATACTATTTCAGTAGACAATGCTTCAGCAAATGACACTGTAATCAAGAACTTGAGGGAAATCTTTGCGATGAAGAAAGATTTGGTTTGTGGTGGAAAGCTTTTTCTTGTGAGGTGTTGTGGACATATCTTGAATTTTATTGTTCAAGATGGTTTGTCTAGAATCAAATATGTAATACAAGATATAAGGGATGATGTCTCTTTTCTTAACCAAAGTGAAGCACGGTTGAACACTTTATGTGAAGTTGTCCAACAATTGCAAGTGTCTGACTGAAAACTCATACTTGATTGCAAAACACGTTGGAACTCAACCTATGATATGCTGCATTGTGCATATATGTTCAAGGATGTATTTCCAATATATCAAAGAAAGGAACCCAGTTACACGTCATGTCCATCAAAAGAAGGTTGGGAGAAGGTAGAGAAAATTCTTAATATTGTGGTGGTTTTCTCTAATCTCAACAACAAAATATCTGGAAGTGAATACCCAATGAGCAACCTTTTTCTGGTTGGAGTTTGTAAGATTAAACAAAGATTAGACAATCGTGGAAGTGATGAAAGTGCATTCGTGAAGGATATGGTCGACCAGATGAAGAAAAAGTTTGACAAATATTGTGGAGAGTGCAATTTACTCATGTCTATCGTTGTTGTTGCTTTGGACTTCTGTTTTCCTAGGATATATCGTGAATCAGAGGTAGACCTCAACATAGAAAATGTGAAAAGGGCTTTGCTTGAGCTATATAATGAGTATGTGACCATGGAAAAAAGTTCTACTCTAGGAAAGAGAACGTTTATTTCTTCTCAGTCCTCTTCAATAATGAATTCATCGGCATCCGACTTTGATGAGTTGCATGCATATGTGAAAGAAGTAGAGACTATCCGGCCAAATAGAACAGATTTGGACATGTATTTTGAAGATGTTTGATATATTTGCTCAGAAGGATCAAATGAATTGTTTGATATCTTAGTTGGTGGAAAGGAAACCAATCAAAGTACCATGTTCGTTCAAAAATGGCAGCTGATATCTTGGCGATTCCGATAACCATAGTGGCATCTGAGGCTACATTTAGTGCTAGAACAAGAGTAATTGACACATATCGTGCATCACTATCAGTTCAGACAGTAGAGGCGCTGCTCTGTGGAGGAGATTGGCTTAGAAATCTTCATGGGGTAAAAGGAAGCAAAGTGAGTGGCTTATGTAACATCAATTTTATTCTTGATAATGATTATGATTAAAAAGCTATGGTGCTCATTTCATAATCCAAGTTTCTATTTTGCAGGGGTGCAAAGAACCGATAATAATTAATCTACCAATATCATAGATGGTCAAACAAGAAGTTTTAATGCAGTGGACGAGTCTCATATTTTGTGAATTCCTGATTGGACTCTGAAATATTGCTCACTCTATTTGTCTATTTTGCTTTTGAATATTTTTGGACATATGAATTAGTTTGGCTCCTAACTTTGAACATAATTGTTTGGACATGTAATGCTTATATGTTGCACTAGGGATCATTAGCCTATGTTTGTTTTCGTAAAATGTGTTTATTATTATTGTGATTTTCTTAATTTTGATGCTTATAAACATCAAAATTGGTTGTTTAGTTTTATTCATACCCATGACCTTTAAGGGGTTATTTAGCATATTCTTTATGTATGCATTTACTCTTAGCAAATGCAAAAGAGTACACAGATTACTCATAGCCTATATTTGTTTCTGTAAATGTGTTTATTTATTATTGTGATGCTCTTACTTCCCTACTTGTAATATTAACACCAAAATACCCATGACCTTAAAGGGGTTATTTACAACGTTGTTTATGTATGCATTTACTCTTAGCAAATGCAAAAGAGTACACGTATGGACACTCAAGTATCAAAAGGTTGGACAGATTTTATTTAGTTGTAGTAATGTTGCTTGAACACTTGAGCTTTAATTGGTTGTTCCTTTTTTCTTCTAAAATGATTTTTTGCAACTTATTGGTTGATGATAGTTTTTGGAGTTGTATGTAAGAGGAAAGGAATTGATGACATTCTTATGGGATTTTATAGGTTTAGTAATTGAGATAATTTTTTCTTCATTAAACGAGCTTGTGTTCGAACTCGAGCTCTAATTGAACTTTTTTGTTCCAACTTTTTTCGAGCCTATGCCTATCGAGTGTCCGAACCGAGCTTCGAACACATATCGAACCGATATCGAGCCTAATAAATAGATCCCGCCGAGCTTCGAGCACGAACTGGAGCACCATCAAAACACTATCGAACCGAGGTCGAGCCTATGATGTTCGGGCTCGGCTCGGCTCTTAACAGCCCTAGTGTGAACCAACACCTTTCTTCCCAGTATTTCAGAGGTTATTCATATGCTTTGAAGGGCTAGACAAAGGATGGAAGGAAGGGTGTAGAAAGGTCATATGTGTGGATGCCTGTTTTTTAAAATCATTCCTTGGTGGACAATTATTGTGTGCAGTAGGAAGAGACGGTAACGAACAAATGTTCCCAATTGCATGGGCAGTCATAGAAGGCGAAAATAATTTGTCCTGGGAGTGGTTTTTCTTGTTGCTCCAAAATTGTCTTGACTTTAGAGAAGGAGCAGACATTGAAATAATTTTAGATAAACACCAGGTAACCCATATGCATTAAAATATGACCATGTTAGCTTCATTGTTAAAATAAAATAAAATTTAATTATATGTGTTTTCTTTGCATACTTTATAGGCCATTTTAAATGCGGTCACCAAAGTACGAAGGTGAACACAGACATTGTGCAAGAAATATATTTGTTGTGGCATAAGACTTTTAGAGGAGATAATTTGAAATTAAAGTGCAGGAAGATTGTTAGAGCATATAAGCTCACTGACTACAATGACGCATTTGATGAGTTGGTAGAGGTAAATCCAAAAGCTGCAAATGCATTTAAAACCTTCAACCTTAGGTGTTTTTGTAGAGCTTTTATGAACAGTGCTCTAAGATGTGATGCCATTACAAACAATATGGCTGAAACTTTTAACGGTTACATCATAAATGCAAGGACCAAGCACCTTATATACATGCTAGAGGATATTAGAGCTGCATTGATGCAACGGTTGGTCCTCAAAAGGCAACAAATGGAGAATGATCATTCAATGATATGCCTTAGAATACTAGCTAAACTAGAACTTGAGAAGGCTAAAGCATGTCATTGTGATGTTCTCCCATCAACATTTCACACTTTCCAAGTGAATATGTACTTAGATAGTCTTAGTGTGGATCTTCAAGCAAGACATATACCTGCAGAAAGTGGGATATGTCAGGGATACCTTGTTGTCATGCAATAGGATGTATATTTTTCCTACATCAAGAAGAAGAGGATTATGTGGACGTATGTTCTATCCCCCCCCCCCCCCCTCCCCCGGGTGAAGGTGAGAGGCACTGACCTAGAATAGAAGCTCCAATGTATCCTCCTCCTATTAAAATTGGTCCTGCCAGACCAAGTCTTAACAGAAAAAAGACCCATTTGAGGACTCCCCGAAAAAAGGCAAGCTCACTAGACACGAAATAGAGATGACATGTAGTATTTATGAGACAAAAGGTCACAATGAGAGAAGGTGTCCAAACAAAGACAGACATGTGGTCAAGCGGGCTGAAGTTAAGAGATCTAGATGTCGACCGAGAAATGATGGAAACCCTCCTCAAGCTGGTACAAGTCAACCGATTACCCATCATTCCGCCACAGCTCAACCTAATAGAATTGGCAGGGGAGGGAGAGTCATTAGAACTGCAACAAGAGGTATAGGGGGAAGAGATTCCACGAGGGGAAGGATATCTAGAGGAGGAAGAGATGGCGGGGGAACTCCAAAGAGGTGACTAAGATATCTTTTTCTCAATTAACATTAATTTGTGTGAATTTTATTTTTACAATAGTTACGATATTTATTGTGTAGGTGCCACAAGGATTTGGAGTTTTCATTGCGAGGGATGGGGCCACATACCAAACATATGTTGTTTGCACTGTAGTTAAAATATGTTGTTATTGTCATGGTGTTTTTTGTATTTATTTAGTATTTATTATCTCGTTTCAAGTTGCAGGCCAATCAGTAGGACCAAGCCTAGTGACTGAGTTCTCAGGCTCTTCTGCCGGCTGTTCTCAACTAAGCCAAAGCTCTGGTGTTCTGAACTAAACAATAATGAAGTTTCATTTATAGATCTTAGTAATAGGTCATTCATAGATCTGTGCAGTGACCATCTACTGATGCCATTTTGTAATATTAACTTATAATTAGTGTAACGCCCGTACTTTTTATCGACTTCTTATGTGCTAATTAATGGGTATATATGATCATGTTTTGATTTATGGTTGAGTGTTATATATGTGAAGTAGATGGATATCATGTGATTACGAACTTGGTGATAATTGTATTTGAATTATATACTTGAAATACGTTTTATCATGACAGGCGACGGTACCCGATGAGCAACGAAACGACCCCATAATAATCATTTTTATTTCGGGTGAAATGGTATATTGAGTTAGTTGTCATGTTAGATAGTATCTAGGTGTTTGAAATGTAGTTTAAAATGTCACCGAGGGTCATGGATGGGATCGGCCAACAATCGGGGTCGGTTTAGGGCGAAAAAGGGCATTTTCGGCACCCGGAGAACCCTGAACCGGCGCCGGTCCAAAACAGAACGTATGGCGGTGAAAAGGCAGGGCAACCGGCGCCGTTCGGGGCGATTTTGGCTAGTAGGTTCAAACAGCATATTTAACGGAGAAAAAACCCTTTTGACCCCAAATTTCGACCTTTCTCGTCCTTATCTCTGTAAACCAACCCCAAAATCTTCTCCAAGTGATTCAAGCTCAAAATTAAACATACTTTTCATCAAGGATCATCAATTGGTAAGATTTTTACACCCTACATGAAGTATTTCTACTATATTTGTATATATAGTTCTTGGTTGGGGATTTTTCTAGGGTTGATTGATTTAAGGTTGATTCTAGGAAAATTAATGGAATTTCTTAATAATAAGGTTGTTATGGAGTTGTTGTTCATCCTTGATTGAAATCCCTTGTGAAGTTTTAAGTATTTAGCTACCCCAAAATAATACCCAATTTAATGAAAGAATTTGGGAAGTATTTTAATGATTAGTGGCTGATTCTAAATAGATACATGGAGTCCTTAATATTATGAGAGGGAGTTAATAGATGATGAGTCTTGATTCATGAAATTCAATCGAATTCTTAGTTATCTAGCCACCCTGAATCTATGCCCGATTTGTTGTAGGAAAAGGGGGAGTTTTTAACTTGTAGGGGCTGATTTGTGAACTTTCCCTCACCTTAAGTATAAGGATTTTCTAAAGACATGAATTTAAGTTTGATCAAGTATAAGCTTGTGTATTTATAATTATAGTTTCTCATCGAAGAACCGTTGCTCGTGGACACTGTACACTGTACACACACACAAGGGCAAATACTTCGCGTGAACCAGGTAAGTCATCACCACCTATACATGATAGTTTGAAATGAAATATGGAAGTCTAGCTACCTATGAATTATATAGGTTTGCTTGAATGCTTGAATTTGTATGGTATGAGACTATGTGAATGTCCTGTTATATGTATATACTTATAGGTGATGTTGATTGAGAACTTGTTGAGTTATCAATGTAAGGTATCCAAGTTCTATGGTCAATGTTAGGTTGGATTTATATGGACTCCAACAATGAATGGAAGTTGTGATAGTAATGATATCTAATGAATGATAAGAAATGTTCTAAGGTAGTCATTCCCCCGAGTAATCACCTGAGCTGAACGGAGCGGGATCTCCTTCCGCGAGGAGTCCCAGGATTACTTCTGATGGCTGCGGGCTAGCTACCCAAGGTCATTAGCGAGGGGCCAGGACACGAGCTACGGGCCCATCAAGTCAAGTAATAAGATAAGAAGAAAGAATGATGAATGAGGAAATCTTTTAGATTTCGTTACATGATGTTGTGTTTTACGTGATATGAATATGTGTGTGAATATGCTATGTGTATGGAGTAGTCAAGCTCATGTATCTAATTATGGCTAGCTAATATTCCCTAAACGTTTTTAGTGGATGAAATGGTGACTTACTAAGCATTATTGCTTATGAGACTTCTTTCTCGTATTCTCATGTATAGGTAATGAATGAGGTACGGAAGCCTGAGAGAATGTATGGAGTTGGTGACAAGGTTTTGGATGGGTTAACAGAGAAGATCGGGCTATCAGTTATGTTGTGGTTTTAGTAAGTTGGTACTTCAAAGGGTTGTTAAATGTTTTTAAAATCCTGATCAGGTGTAATGGTTTTACAAATGTTTTATTTTGGATATGTTTCGTTATGGTTGTAAGGTTTGATTTGTTCTAAAAGAAATAAAGTCTCATATCGAGGCTTTGTATCTTTATTTCCGCTTGATTTATCGAGTCTCTTTTATGTTTGAGTATCGTAATGGCCATTTTGGGGACGGTCGTTACAATTAACCTTCTCTGTACTCACTGTATTGGGCTACATCATTTTGGT